TATACATATATATATACAGGTATATTTAAATACTTATTTATTTATATATTTATATTTATGTTTGTACTGTATTTATATTTTTTCATTTATATTTAAATTGCATCAGTCTGCAGTGAAGTTTGTCATTAATTTCACTTCTACACACAGTCAAACAAAATAATATTCATTTTTAACACACTGTCCAGCAAGTTGCTGAAGTGTTGAAATCAGGAACTCTGCAAAAATATCACGTCTTTTTGAGAACAATGAGAATCAAACCTTTGTTTAAAAAATGATAAGTTTCAGTTTTATATCGGAGAAAAGTCACAATAAAATCTCCAAAAGTCCCGTTTTAAGTTCACTCAGAAAACGACCTGCATTTAAACATATCTTTATTATTTCATATATAAATGTAATTTATTTAGTACTTCTGTACTTCAGTGAATAAACATCATTAAATGAAGTACAAACCAGTATATTTTGGTTTTTCAGAAAAGTGTTTTTTAGTTTTGTATTTGTTAGAAAATACTAAACAATTTTGAATTTATTTCTGCCTTAATACTGGGTTGATTAATATATTCATGTATATATAATACATATTTATATAGTATATATTTATATTACAATGTATTTTATATATACTTTAGTAGTTGTTTGGATTGCTAATTTTCTGATGAATAAGAAGTGATGAGAATAATGTCACAGGAGGAGTGGGCTAATATGTGTTTACTTCTGCCCACTCCTTTGTATATTATTAGTAAATTTGTTACCTTCTGTTGTTAATTTATAATATTTATTTACCCACATTTTAATTTTTCATTAAAATTTTATTCAAATTGTTATCATTTCAAATTTGATTTAGTGAGCAAAGAGGCGTAAGCGGTCCTTTAGATCAGCGGTTTTTAGACGTGTGTACCACCTGGTCCATTTTGTGTACCATGATTCTCAACAAACTGTAATGTTCTACAACTGATTATTAAATGAAATTTATTTATTCAAACCCCTACAATGTTTAATTCTCAGGCACTTTATTCTTTTCAACTTAACTCAACACAAATTAAACATAAAGTGAATAAGTAATTGAATAAATAAAGCAGGTAATGACAGTTGAAGGAAACAGCAGCGTCTAAAAGACATCAGAAACTGACCCAAACGAGCCGATTCTGTGGGATTCTATGTTTTATACTGGATTCTATTTTGTTTTAATTCAGTGATTACATCTGTTATTACCACAGYGTGGAAATCATAGGGCTCTACATATCTCGGTCCTATTTTTATTTATTTTTTTACACACATGGTAAATTTTTCCACTGTGTTCGCATAGTCCAAGTGGTCCACATGGCCCTGGTTGTGAATCACTGCTTTCGATCCATCCTGCTGCCGTCTCACTTCACATGAATCACACAGACTTTCAGCGTTAACAAAGAGCAGAACAGAAATAACTACAATTACTAAAAATAAAT